AAATGTTATTTCGATTTACCTGCTTCAATAGAATCTTCATCTAATGGATTTGTTGGATCAACTGTATCTAGAAATAAATATTATTATTATTTATTATTTTTATTTTCATGTTAATTATCTTAAAATGATTTTATCTTCAACTCAATATTAAACTCTTTCTATATAACAAACTACTTTTAAAGTTAAACTAATATCAATATAATATGTATATTCTAGAATTTATCTTTCTATCTGCTAATTTTGCTTAATCTATTCAATCAATAACATTCATATTAACAGAACAAAATAGTTATCATATTGAGAAATTTTCCTAAACTTACACCAATACATATAATAGATATGTTACTATATTAATGCAAACAAACATAGAAACAAAAATATTTTATTTTAATATGATCATTTGTTGAGTTGAATAAATAAAAATATTTCTGATAGTAAAGATATCCGAGAAGTTTAATAAGTCAAATATATTTTGTATATTGGTTAAATTCTATTTGAATGTGTTTGAAAATATATCAAATCTTTAAAAAAATTCCATTTCATTTAACATATTTTATCTTTGAAAGATTAAATTAACAAAATCTCTAATGTATTAATATCATTAGTTTTAGTTTTATCTAATTTTTATTCATTTATTAAATTATAAAAAAATGTTTATCTTTTTTCAACATTACCTCTTGCTTCATTGTCGTCATCGTCATCCTCTTCTTGTTCTTGTTCATGTTCTTCTTCTTGTTCTTCTTCTTCTTCTTCTTCTTCTACTTCTTGATTAACTATGTTATGATGTTCATCTTCCTCTTCATCATCTGCTTGATGATCTTGTTGATTTAATTCTTCTTGATCACTACCATCATTTTCTTCTTCTTGTTCACCATGTTCTACTTCAGATTCGACTTCTCTATCATCAATTTGTTCTTCTTCTTCTTCTTCGTCTTCTTGTTCTTGTTCTTGTTCTTCTTCATCATCTAATATAAACAATTTAAAGATTAGAAAAAAAGACTAAAATAATAAAATTTGTTCACATACGTTCATCATATTCAACGATATCATTATTACTATTCATTATTCTAAACAAAATAAATAATATTTATATATCTATTTAAAAATGAAAATAAATAAATTTTTATTCTCTTAATGCAAGTAGATGAAAAATAGATATTAATAAGAACAAAATAAAATATTTTGATTAATTTCACGAAAAAACAAAACAAAATATATTTCACTGTTATAAATAATAAGATATAAAAAAGAAAAAGTGAATGATTAAAATAATATATAAATTTATTCTCTTTTATAAAATAAGACAACAATTTCTAGGTTGTTTTTCCTTATCAATAACAATATCAACACGATCAGTATCGAGATTTTTATGTACTTTTTTAAATGGTCGTACAATTCTCATTAATTCACAAAAAACTTTATCAACATTATGTTTTGTTTTTGCTGATGTTTCAATATATTTTATTGACCAACTATGTGCTTTTTGTTCAGCTTCTTCAAGTGTTATTTTACGTTTATCAGCTAAATCAATTTTATTTCCAACTAATATTGCTGGAATATTTGTTCCACTACTTTTTACACGTAAAATTTGTTCACTTAAAATAAAAAAA